CACACACACGCACACAGAGCATTCCCCCCCCCGCGATGAACAAACACCCCCCCCCTGCAGCACACAGGGCCATGACACTGGGGACACGCAGGGCACGTGCCGGGGACACGCAGGGGACACGTGGGGGACATGGTTCTCTGCAGAGCTGTATTCACGGGGGGGGGGACACACAGACACACAGACACACAAAGTGGGGTGTGTGTCCCCCACCCAACACCCCTGCACAGCAGCCCCCCGTGAGTCGCGGGGTCCCCCTCCGCCGCCGCGGCCGGGCCACGGTGGCAACGCCACCGCCCCACGGTGCGGTGCAGGGGAAGCCCCTCGGCTCTCGCCGCTGCCGCCGTGCCGTGTGTCGCGCCAAACCCTACGGACAGCCGTGCCTTCCCGCCGCGCGCGCACACGCCCGTGCACGGGAGCGTGGCCGCCCTCGTACGCGCGCCCAACCGGCCACTCTCGCCCACGCGCGGCCGCGCCAGCCTGGACCGAGGGGTTCCCGGCACCCGGTCCCCGCTGCGGCAGGCCCACGTGCCGGCCGGGCGCCCGCCCGCACATGGCTCTGCAGCAGGGCCGCCGCGCAGGGAGGGCTGCTGGGGCTAAAAATGGAGCAGGGCTCACATGCCAGCGCCACGTGACGCCGCAACCAGCTCGCTGGGATGGAGAGGGCTCCCTGCACCCGAGGAGGAGGAAGAAGAAGAAGAAGAGGCGGGGGAGGAGGAGGGGAGCGCCCGCTCACATGGGCTGGCACAGACGCCAACCGGCCCGGTGCCCCGAAGCCCGCGGCCGCCGTGTCCCCCGTGGGGTCGGGGGCTGCTGGGGGCTGCCCCACATTCCTGCCAAGCCATGTTTTGGGAAGGCCTAATAGGGGGCCACAGAGGCGTGGGAAAGGGGCGCGGGTTCCCCATCATTCGTGCCCAGGGTGGGGGGGGGTCCGTGAGGCCGAAGGAGCCCCCGTGGCCCCCGGCGCTGCCCCGGCCCCCCCCCCCCCGGCGGCTCAGGGATCCGGGGCCGTGGCACTGCAACGAGAACACAAACATCAGCACATGAGATTTATGGGGCCGCGGCTGGGAGGGGTGCGGGCGAGGGGGGGGCCAGCGCTGCCGCAGCCCCACCCTGCAGGCAGGGGCCACGGGGGTGCCCCCCACCCACCCCAGCTGCTCCCCGTGTGGGGGTGTCCCGAGCCACCCCATACGGTGAACACACTGGGGTGTCCCCCTCCCCCAAGGCCCCTCACACCCACC